GGTCGTCGAGGGACGAGGCGAAGCAAGGGGAGTAGGAGGATGCGAAGCTGTCGGAGCAGCGAGTCCGATCGAGGAGGTTAGTTCACCGGTGGCGGATGGCGAGGTCTGCTGCGGCGACAGCAGTACCAACTACCACCACCGTCGTCATCACCTCCATCACGTCCACCGTCGCCATAGTCATCATCGTCATCACCAGTGTCAGCAGCGTCACCGATGTCACCAACGGAGGGACAGTGTCGCTAGCAACGAGCTCGTCGTCGACGAGGAAGCCGACGATGAGGTTAACTGCCAAGAGCAAACTGCCGCCGATGCCGCCGCTGCTTCCGTTGCCGCCCAACCTCCTCATCGAGACATCCACGAGTTCCATCACCTGCATCATCATCCTCATCTGCGAGACCTCCACCAACGGTTACAGGACGACAGGACGCATCGCGATCGCGAGGACGCGACCGAGAAAAGCGTCGACCGTATCGTCCGGACCGACGACCACCACTCGGATGGTAGCAACCAAGCCGAGAACCCTGCCACCGTCACTGCCATGACGAGAGGATGCAGGATCCCACCCTACCTCGCCACTCTACTCATCCTCTCCTACACACTCTTCGGTATAGCAGGTTAGTGCAAATTTCATTTTTACCCCTCTTTTTACCTTCGAGATCCATCGCGCGATATCGAGTGCTCGATCAGTGCTAAATGTGCCGGTGATTGTCAGAGTGTAACAACATTCACTTCTTCTGCCTAGAACTTTTGCCAAATTTTAAATTGCTACTATGCATTATGTCGTTCACGATGTAGGGCCAATGTAAATATTTTTCGATCATGTAATACTGACAGGACGATGGTGCTAAGTGTTCGATCACGCGATATCACAGGGTGGATCTTCGACTATAAATGTTGCATCCATAAATGTTAGCAGTGCTAGAAGTTTGCGGGTCGTAGACAAAAATTGCCATTAGATAACGTTAGATTATGTAACATACCCCGATGAGTATAGTGAATTACCCTATTGACAGCATAGAAAGAGATCCTTGCCTAAATGTGTGCAAAATTAAAAATTATTAATAATAATCAGTCTAATAGTGACCAAATTTGCAAATCACATAACTTCACTAACAAGTCAACGAATTTTACAAAGTGAATTGAAAAGAACATCAATCTAAAGGAAAAGAGAAGGATGTTGCAAAATGTGGCATTGACCATATGATGTATTTAGCTACCCTTTCGCGTGCAAAGTAAACACTGGGCAAATTTGTTGCAACACGCGTGTCTAAAGAACGTAAATTGGCACGAGTTCGGTTCTCTGTTCAAAGCGATCCATTGTCCGTATTCACAAAAACACCATCTCAATTGAACGGGGGCGACGACAGATTGCAACACGTGCCACGCTCTGCAGCCCCGATGTTCTTCAACAATTATATATGTACGGAGCAAATTACTCGAATTCGAACACATGGCACTGTGCGTACGTTCGGAGGGCGTTAAAAAAGTGGCAATTTGGCGGGTATTACGTACAAATTGCAACAGCGTTTACGAGACTTTAAACGGGACTCTTTCTCGCACAAAAAACGATATCCTTTTGTCAGATGTACAATGCAGAACTTGTGTTATTAACGGTTAGCTTTCGCTTTGTTGAGCACGATACGCCATTTTTTTTATGCTTCACTTTCTGTTCGGATACGAAATTTTAACTGAGGGTTCATATTCGGACAATGACATTTGCTCTTTTGTATTTGTGGAGTTTTATCAAGAATCAATTGTGAATCGATTTCAGTAATGTCGTGGCTGCCATGTTGCTCTTTTGGGTAACGTACAAATTGTCACTGGAACTTGCTACCCATTTACAATTTTATTTAATATAGTACATTTAAAAATTGTCGAGCTCACACATGTCGTTATTCAAAAAACTCTTGTGTAAATACGTTTGATCAACAAAGAATAGAAGATGGTAGAAGAAAGAAGTGAAAGTGGGGAGACAAAACATACTGCAGAATGTTCAGGTTGATTAAACATGGCAGTCAAAATGTTAATCGCAAGACAGGCGCAATATTGTCTGGCCTCGGTCTGCATCCTCGAGCCGTACGGCAGATTGCAAAATTATAACAGGTGACAGATAGAGCGTGGCTTGCACGGGCGGATGCAACGTGCAGCGGTCTTCTCGTGCGCAACAACATTCGAGAAGCTCTCTCTCTTTTTTCTCCTCCCTTCGTTCTCTTCTTTCTTGCCAGCCACGTTCGCGTGGCATGTGCAAATATTTCAAAGTTTTAGAATTGATCGATGGAATGTCGGATTAAGCGACGGATTTCGAGTGCCAGGAATTCTTTCGACCCTTTTTGCCCCACGTACACGCCAAGTCCTGTTGCACGCGAGCCCAACGAACGCACGATCGAATATGCAAATCCTGCACGAATAATTTGCTGATTTTTTCGCCTAACACTTTGATGGCTGCGTGCTTTCTGGATCGATGCTGCCTCTAATTTTAGAACTATTTTTTAACAGATTGTCGATAACGGTATATTTGGCGGTTTCTATATGCTAGAAAATTAAAGGTCTTTAATTTGGGGTTACGAATGGAAATGACCTGGAGAGAAAATTGGCTCGTTATGAATATGTAGCACTGGGTATTAAAGCGTCGGGGAAAAGATATTTCAGTAAGGGCAATTGTCCAGCAAAGTACATTTAGTGTAACATTTTTAAAGTTTATCTAAAAATAGTGCTCTATTAACACTAAAACTACCAAACCGGTTAAATGACCGCTCCACAAGTTTCTTATTATAAGGTACACATTTTGTTAAAATACATTCCTTGAAATCAGAAGTGATTTTCATCAAGATAAAGAATAAATGTGTGTACTAATTTATGTTTCGTCGTTTGTTTATTTATTTTTTAACTTCATTTTATTATATGCCGGTAGGTTTAGTGTTAAATACCCCTACAGAAATGAATTCTCAAAATAAAAGAAACAATTAGTCATACGATATAGAAATACGGTATCAAATTTTCTTGAAATCATGCAGCAATTAATTTGGAAACGTCCGAAAGTATCTCGAGCCATCAATCAAGCACAAAATGGCGTGCCGAAAGAACGGGGAGATTAAAGTTTACGTGTTAAAGTTTGAACAGAAATGTATTATACTTGAAAAGTATCCCGAGTAATTAATCATGTTATGTAAATAAACGAAAGTACGTAAGACGATGACGAAGGAACAAAAGGGTAGGAAAAGAATGGTTCCGGAGTTAAGTTTTTAGAGCAGAAGGGAGGATCGAGCACGAGCACTTAGGGCCAGCCCTAAAATACGGGCGTCCTTTGTGTTTGGTAAACCTGGAAGCCGTCGGAATTTCTAAAGCACCCATTCTCCCTCGTGGCCCTTTAATGGGATAAATGATGCTTGGCCTTTAGTCGTTACACAGCTTAATCGAGCAAATTTGCCATTCGACCGCTTTCTCGCCGTGCTTTTTATCGATCCACCCTTAAACAGGACAATCATCCTTTCACGTGCACAAAGGACTCTTTCTGTGCGTCGTTCGATTTTTCTCCAATTATGTCCAAATATTTGCTGTCACTATCGTAAATGACTCGTCAAAAATCGGGAATCAAATTTATTGGAAAATGGCGGGTGACTCGACTTCCATTTTATACTCGTTAAATGTCCATTTCATAGAATGTTCTGTCATAGAATTTTTGATACGTTGTGATTGTAGACCCATTTGTTACTCGAATATCCAATTCGTTTTTCAGAAGATTCAGTAATATTTTTAAGTGATAATAATGAAGAGCTACTACGACTATGAACTACTTTTTAGTATGAAGTATGAACCACTCATTAGAAGTAGGAGTCGAAGTATGAAGTAGATATTTTTGTGTAAGAAGGATGCAAAGATGGCACTAGTTATGAAATGTTATGAGTTTTGTACGGAGGTTTAATTATAACTGATCTTTCTTTCAGACGCCTGTTCATCGCGGTCGACGCCGAAACCACGGCCACCGACGCCGACGCCTCGACCAAATATCACATTCCACATGTACACGTGTCCACCGGATTATGCGGAATGGTACTGTCTGAACGGTGCCACATGTTTCACGGTCAAAATCGTTGATTCCCTCCTTTACAATTGTTTGTAAGTACCATTATGATTCTATAAACTTTTCGAAAGAAAATGTCATATCTCCAGAAGCTATCTACACTGTCAATAACCTTGTCAAAGAGATAGAGATCCCTGTGTAACCTTGTTAAACACTTACCAAACAATTAAATAGAGTACATTTCGATGTACCTTTGATAACCATCGAATTTTCTAACCTTTCGATCGTCCAGGTCTGTTTATACCTGTTTTGAGTCTAATTTCTTTACAACTTGATTTATGACCACGTAAAATCGTCCATTTGTATTAATTTGGTCGTTAGTGACATTGCTTGCTGACTTTGAACTTCGAGGATCTTTGTCGTACTTTCACTTTGCCTGAAATTCTGTGTGTATTCATAGATCCGTAGATTGTGTACTTAGATTCCTAGATGCTTGTATACGTGCATTCCGGAATGCTCATATCCCTAAATTCCTACATCAACTTACAATCCCAGATTTCTACGTATTCAAGTCCCTACGTTCTCAAATAACTACATTCTGAAATCTCTACATCCTCAAGTTTTTAAATTTTTGCAAATTTCTGCTGGTTCGAATCTCTACGTTCTCGAATTCATACATTGTCACATGTCTTCTTTCGCAAATTTGTACGTTTTTAAATTCGTACATTCACAGATACTTATGTTCTCTAATATCTATATTCTCAAGTAAGTATGTTCTTAAATTATATTGTCAAGTACCCATGTTCCTGAGTCCCTATATCAGATCGCCATATTCTCAGGTACCTATGTTCTTGAATATCTATATTCTCAAATAACTATATTCCTAAATTATATTGTCAAGTGCCCATGTTCCTGAGTACCTGTATCAGATTGCCATATTTTCAGATACCTATGTTCTTAAATATCTATATTCTCAAATATCTATGTTCCTAAATTATATTGTCAAGTACCCATATTTCCGAGTCCCTATATCAGATCGCCATATTCTCAGGTACCTAAGTTCTGAAGTATCTATATTCTCCAATACCAATGTTCCTCGTTAAAGAGGACGGAAATATGAAAAACAGGAGATCAAAGAAGCAGACAATTACTCGTAATGTTGCAACGATTTCCAATTTACATGAATGCAGATTCAGGGCACCTATCGATCTAATCAACGGCCTTCCAGTAGATTTCCCAAGCAGTCTGCGCTTAATTACAACCGGTGTATCAACGATTAATAGAGATTTGCGTACGTCCGGATCCCGTAAATCTACTTTTTCCTCGATGTTTCTCACATTTGACGTCATTCGCTCGACACTGCGGAGTCGATGCAAATGGCGCGGAACACTGCTCCAAAATTATGCTTTTCGCGGCTGTCGATCGTTAAAAGCGGCAGGTAAAATCGTCGGCGAATCGTTAATCGTCTAGACGGCTCGGTGATCTCGTTAGCAAACATCGTCCTCGCAAGAAAGTGGAAACGTTTTATTATCCAGCACTTTCCACCGCTGGAATTTTCTCCGTCCGTTTCACGGAATCCTCCTTATTCGTTCCGCGGAAGTTATGGGAGCGCGAACGAGGAAAAAGTGGCACACGCGATCTCCTCTTCTGTAGAATCGGTCTCCTCTTCGATATGCGCCTTCGAATTCCTTTCACGAGCATAAAGATCGACACGACGAATTTTTATTTCTTCCAAGGTTACTGTCGCGAAGGTTAACGGTGACTTGCATCGCAAATTCTGTCGAGCAACGAAACCAGGCAAAAGGGTGCGTTAAATTCAGATCGAGAGATTAGGTGGATTGAACAGATAGGAATATGCACTCTCATTATATTGTTTGTGCAATTAACTTATTTTTTTAGGTGCCAAAGACTCATGTTCGTTGTGTCAATATCGAAATCTGACACGTTGCGAAATATTTTGAATTCTCAGACTCGATCGAATCACGATATAAAGTCTCCTTTTTCGAAAATCGATTGGTTATCAATTAGATAAACGTTTTCTGTATATTCAGAAATATCGACATACCAAATTACTAATCGTCTGGTATTTCAATTTATATTCTCGAAAATTGATACAAAAATATCTCCACTCCCATTTCCGGAATATTATCAGTTATAACAAAATTTTCGTAACGCGAGATTAATGATTCAAGACTGTACATGTACTCCGAGTGTATTCAATGCACGTTTTGAAAAATATCTCGTCCTAAGATTGATACTTAGAGGCACCCTATATTATGGAACAAAGTAGATTTAGAAGATATTTCAAGCCCTATCTTCAGTATATAACCTACAAAATTCAGACACCTGAATAACGACTTACTTAAGACTTAATCTAACAATCGCGAATCGCCCACTTTCAAATCAACCCGAAGATCGTCGAAGGTAAACGAGTAAACGCTACCTTGATAGCTATCACTCGACCATAAATTTCGTCCACTCTCACGAAAATATATCCATTTCCCGTTTCGTGCAGCAACATAATCTTTTTCTCTTACAACGATTAAAAACACGCTATCTGAACTCGTCCTATTTTCCCGAGCAATCGTAAACCTGACAGGAGCGTTCGCATGTTACTAAATCAGACTGTCATCACATAACTACATAGAATCTGGGTTGGACATCTATCTTATACATTTGATACTTGGACTTCGGTAATTTAGCGAGAGGAAATTTCCTTGTGGGAAGGAAACTTTCAAGTCGAGAACATAAGTAGATCGTACTCAGAACATATCAACGTCTACTCGTGGACTAAGACCTTCGAGATCTCAGTTGTCCACCGTCGAGATCTTATTTGTCCATTGTCGAGATGACCTGTCGAATGTGTTACCAATTGGAACTAGAGTCTTCAGCTTGTTATCTCGTTCTGGACAAAAATGTCCCAGCTCTGAATGACGAAGGTTGCGAAGGTCTCGTAAAACGCAGAAACGTGTCGGTCCATGATCACAGCTCGAAGAAAAGAGATCGTGATCCGAAGGTGGTCCAGCATGGGATTCCCGTAGGAATTCGGTGTTACGTGTGGTCGGCACGCAAGCGAGGATTAACGTCGGCGGGATCGAAAGGAGGACACCGGTAGACGGTCCCTTTTTTTCGACCTCGTCTCGGCTCGGAATCGTTGACGATTGTTCCAGGCCACGGTGTCAGCGATTCAACCCCAAGGGGCAAATAGGGGTGACGAAGGGTGCGCGTGAGCAAGAAAAAAAACTCGGCTCGGTCCCGGTGTTAACCTTCTCGCCTACCAGTCCACGAAATCCTTTTCACTTGTACACGCGGCCGGGCATTCGTCGGGAACATTTCGAGATTCTGAGAATTCGTCTCGGTCGTTTCGAGCAGTCTACCGACCGCACAGGTGCAAAGGGACGCGGTAAATCGTGTCTGGTCAAGCCTGCTCACCTGGACGAATTTATCAACGGTTTCACCTTCGAAACGAGGACGACGATTCCGCGGCAACTCGTTTGCGGCCCTAAATTATCTCTCCGCTCCTCGAGTTCTTCCACTCTTTATACGACGCGTTAACCCTCTCGCTAACGAGGAAAGGACTCGATTTCGAAACTTTCAGAAATGCACTCTCTTCTCTTCACTCGTGATACCCAAAACTTTTTACTTCTTTTCAACTTCTAGCTTTGAACACAAATTAGTATTACTTAAGTGCTTATAGCATCAGAGCAACATTCTCGATTTGTACCACAATGGTCCAAGGATCAAATCTTCCTTATTCCACATTTTTTTTTTTTTTACTCATCTTTCACCTTTTTTTTATGAAGTCATATAAACAAGCAAATTTTAAAATAAAAAATTACTGAATTAAAAATAATTTCTCCCGTGAAACATGCATGAAGTATTATGAAGGCATCATTCAAAATTTGTTAAAAGTTTGTACCAAATAATTGAAATTTACGATCGCGCGAGAAAACACGGCAGCGAAAGGTTTAATTAGATTTATTTCCTTGTACGATCACCGTGTTTCAACCTGTGCGGTGATATTTTTCTCCGATATAGGAGTGACTTACCTCGTATTTACAAAGGGTGTGCCTCATTACATAACATTCCAAGCGTCTTCTCCGACACCGCTGAAATTCCAAGCATTATACGGAGGTGTCGCAATCGATCCACGCCGTATGAGATAATTTTCTTTTCAAGAATAAAACCGATCGTCGTTATATTAGACCTGAACGATTCTCTATCGTAGAATTTTAAATGGTACGATAAGCCAAGCCCTGTTAAAAGGTGAAACCGTGACGAGATCCTTGCGGAAAGAGTCTTTGTAAATCATTGGAAAACCCGTTTCATCGACGGGGAAATTTTCGTATCTTCAATTTTCATATTTTGAAATTTCTGAACTTTCAAGTCTTTGGTTTCAAATTTTTAGATTTCGAAATTTTTTAATTTCAAGGTTCAAAGTGTACAAATTTTTTAATTTTGAAGTATGAAGTTTCCAAGTTTTATTGCATTCTATAGCCTTATTGGCAACAGGACATAGTACGCATACGACAAATAGTTTCTACGTCAGGTTAATAGAAAAGCGTGAGCGTGTGAGTCCTTGATCGCATTGCCTTCAAGTTTGCGACGAATATCGATCGACAGGCAACGATATCGATGATAAATGCTTTCCGGACAGTTTTGCCAGCGTTGCGAAAAGAGATTACGTCTTCTAGGATCAACGATATTAGCGTCTCGTTGCGTGGGAGTAACGGAAGCGTTGCTCAAGTGCTCGGTTCCGCGGTGGAAAAGAAGCGAACGAGCTGAAACGAAAAACGACCCCCTGCTTCGGGGAAAGACAATTGACCATGACCAAACTCTATCGGGGTGATCTCGTCTCGCTATATTGACTCTGGTCGATGCTGTAGAAACAAAATTATGGAAACGGCCATATAAGTGGAACTCGTGCAATCACTGAAAATTTATACTTGAACTTTTATACTTGAAAGACTACAATTTTACAACTCTCTCTCTTTACAATTAGATCAAATCTTTGTAGAATTTATGATATACAAAATCAATAGTAATGTTCATACAGTTTGATGAATTTAAAGACCACAAACTAAGATAACCTTAAAGAGGTTAATTACAGAAATAATATTGCAGATACCGATCGTTACAGAAAAGAATTACAGTAATTTAATAAAACCAAGTTTCGTACAAATTTTACATGGAAATTTTCGTTTAGAATTAATGGAACATGGTTAACAATATGCATTCGACTAATTATTCCGCTCGAAGGGCGAATCCAAAGTACCGTTCGATGAAATCGACCGTGAGAATTCTTTTAATCGTCATGTAATTAGCCCTGCAAATCGATATGTTTATAAGTAATTCATTGCAATTTCTCGTTCCTTTTCTTCGTCGTCATCTTCCTCCTCCTTCGTTAATAATTAAGCATACTAATTGGGTGGCTTGAACGATAGCGTACCTATCTGATTAATGTCCGATACTAAAAGCGGTTCGTGGTTAAAGAATACGTTTTATGGCTTCCTGGATATCTTGCCGTGTTTTACGGAAGTGCCGCGGAGGAACTATAAAGTCGACGTGCGCTGCAGTAGTTATCCATGGACACCTTCTGATCGCAGGCTTTTTTTCTGTTACAGATGCGCCAATGGTTATATCGGGCAAAGATGCGAGTTTAAGGATTTAGATGGTTCCTATTTACGTAAGTACTTCTCATTTTTAAACTAGTTTACGTTTTGTTCTTTAAACATTTGTGGATGCAGTCTAAGCTTCTTTTAATTAAAAGAAAACGTAATGGAGTTTATAAACCTGGTTCTTTTAAAATCGAGAGCAACTTGCGACAGAAACGCGATTAGCTCTGACGCGACAGGGCCGCCATTTTGACGAAAGAAACCTGTCACGCTTTTTCTTACGTTTCGAAATAAATTTGGGAGAACCAGGAAATCTAGAAAAAGAACATTCCTTCTATTAATTAAATGTTTTTGACTCTAAATTATGAAATAGTAGAAATGTTGAACAATTTCAGTAGTTAAAAATGAAACGTTATGTTACAGCTTCCCGGCAACGTGTAATGTTGGAGACAGCTAGCATCGCCGGCGGTGCCACGATAGCAGTATTCCTTGTCGTTATCATTTGCATAGCGGCTTACATCCACTGTAAGCGAAAGCAAAAGGAATTGCGGTCGAGGTGTGTATTCTGCTCCTTATCGTTGGCTTTATGATCGGTGAAACTTTGTAGATTATTCTACGAAATGCGGAGTTACGATCTATCAAACTAGCATCTTTAACTTCATTAACCATTCAGCTGTCTATATTATCTTCATCTATTAACTTGCAGATTTCACAAGTGTTAACTACAGACTTTAGTCAATTTTATCTCTGTATTTTTAAGACGATGCAAAGTTCATTGCATATTTAATGTTTGAGGAGTTTCTAAAAATATGAGTATGACGTAGATTGATCGTGATGTATTTAGGAATATGAAAGCAGTCTGAAGACTTCTTATGGTGTTTGATACATATAAATTTCACATTCGACGTTATTTCTATGCCAACAGTAACTGCGTCGACACGGTGGATGGTCCTGGCCGAGATCCGGAGCTGAGGCCGTTTAGCAACCGCAACCGCTCCCTCATGATCTTCATGACCAAGAATCCTAATAGCTCGGTAAGCAATAGTTACACACTATTATATATAATAGTGATACTTGTAAATTAACGTTAAAGTCTCCTGCATATCTGTCTCAGTATTTCACGCTTTACAATCCTTCATCTTCAAAGTAACAGTTCACTCTTCAAAGTAAATGCATCAATGTCGTCATCGTAGCTTGAAATTATAATCGAATCATTCTGTCTCTATAAAAGAATCGTGCACGAAGTGCTTTACGTTCTTAGATACGTAAAGGGTTAAGTCAGGCGGGGTAAAGGAAATAAAAGGGTCATTGCTCTATGTTCACAGGCTGCGATAGAGCAAACGAGAATGCCCGGATGGAACTGCCCGGAAGTGGAGTCTATGAGAATGGCGTCCATCAGCGAAGGCAAGCGTTCGAATCAATAATAGCCAATCTCTCTCTCGTGCCTAATTCCTACGACACGAAACCCGAGGCGTCCACCGTAGATCACCGAGACACGACGCGACGGGCCTCGACTCGTCGACGGAAGGAGGAATCACTTTCACCGTGCTTGCTGTTTTCTGTCTCCGTCCATGGGACACCGTTCTCCCTGTTGGCGTACGAATAATTCCGTGAACGCATTCGATGATCGTGACAACATCTCCTCCTCTTCGGCATCTATTTATTTCGTGCCTGTACATAAGACACGTCGCCCGTTCCTGAAGCTTCGATTCCCAGCAATGCCCCGATTTACGTCCGAACGAAAAGAGTCCGAGCTATCGAGCCAGAAAGAAGAATCGATATTGTGGATTGGGATCCCCAAGAGCGAGGAATCCGCGAGAAATCAGACGTACAGGATTAAAAAGGAAGTACGTAGCGCAACTTTAAATAGCTGGACTTTGCCGAAGAACAAAGGACGAGAAAGTAGAATAAAGAAGGGAATGCTTAAAAATAAAACCCAGCTGAATAGGTGGCTCGATAGAGAGAGCATTAGCGCGAAAGTAACAGGAGATTTAAGGAAGAAGAAAAAGAAAATACCATTTAGTAATTGTTCCTATCGGTGACTAGTTTAGAGCAGACAATAATAACCAGAGAGAAAAATAATTACAGATGTTAGCGTGAGTTAAGACAAATCTACGAGTTAAGTTATTCGACGATATCTTCGTGATGAGCTTTCCTAAATGTCTGTTTCTCTTTCTTTCCGTTTCTTCTTTGTTTCACCTTCCTTCGACCCGATCGATTCGTGGAAGTTTCGAGTTCCTCGACGTCACTCGACTACGAAAAACAGAACGATTTTGCGTATCGAAAATAATCCGAATCGTTGAATGCGTTCGCGATAACTTCTTCTTTTCGACGTCCGTCAAAAAACGAAAAGCGTCCACGTTCGACGAGAGAAACCGTTCGTTCTTCCTCGCAGTTTCTGTTGATTACTTTTCTTTCGTGCCAGTTATACAAATTTCTATCTCTATCGCGTGTTTCGTTAATTCGCAGGACACAACTTGCCCTTCCAAGTGTTTCGTTGTAAATGTATGTAAAACGCGTACATAGTTTATTTAATATACAGACGTAATTATTTATTTCGTTTAAGCATATGTGTTTTCGTTCGCACAATACACCGTCGTTTAATTTATTCGAACGTGTCGTTAGGCCTCGGTGAGAGTCGGTTCGTTAATTGTTCGTCAAAAAAAGAAGAAGGCGGCGTCGATGACTCGATGCGATTATTCGAATTTTCTGGCTCTTCGTCGCGCTGCGAAAACTTCTCTCCCTCTGTCTCGTTTGTAAATAGTAAATTAATCCGTGTACAGGGCCGGCCGATTCGTGTTCATCCGTTAAATTTATCTGAAGAGTAATTACGACAATTGTAGCGGACAAACTACAATCATGACGACGCTTAATTAAGCCGCGTGACACCGCGTTTGCCACTCGCAGTGACATTTGACAAATAAATTTATCGGGACCCGAGTCGGCCAGGAATGGCAGGGTCGATTGCTAGCGCGGCGAAAATCACCCGAGTTATCGATCGCGACTCCAGAAAATTACGTTCAGGTCCTACTGAATCCATCATCGCGTCGCGACGCCCCTCGATGCTGCAGAAAGATATATGAGCTTGTCCTTGAAGTAATGTCGTTACTTTTGAATACAGTTCATTTTCAATATATAACATTTCAACTGCCATATACCGTGGATGTAGAAAGTATTGTAATTCCTTTGTATTCTTGCATTTACTTGGAAAATGTCAGATTGCATTTATTACACGTTATATTATAGCATTTATTAAAGCATCGCAGGATTCCATAACTATATTTCTTCAGTCCATTAATATTGTTATACTCAGAACTGGGTGTGCCACTACTTTCTTTGTCTACAGTATCTCGTTCTTCAATTCTATTCTGATAATTACAAAATTATTTAACTGGAGAAAAGTTTACTATTTCAATATTTCAAGAAATAGCAGTCTATTAAAAAGTGATGAATAGAATTTTCTCAGAAAATGATCTACATACAAATAATGTAAAGTAACAGTAAGTGTTAATTCACCCTCATTGATTGACTAAGGAAACGACATTATTTTATGGGATGACTCAACAGTATGTATAAATATATGCAAGGTATTATGTAATTAATCATACAGGCAGAAAAGAGGTCATTCTCTATGCAATGGTAACTTGATAATATAGTATGAAATTTTTTTGTCTTTAAAGAAGAAAAATATACAGAAACAGTGAGACAGTATTTTTAAAATCTACATAAACATCTGCAGTTTGCAACATATGTTTGACAAATCTTCAAAGTCAGTTTCCTCAAAAAAGATGTATGAAAAAGTTACATGCTATGTGTTCATATTATTTTTGCATACGGAGTCAGCTTAATTCTGGTAAGATCAGTTACATGGTACCATGTGAACGTTCTATAAGATATCTGTCCCGTATTCCGATGGCGATTTGTACATTTTGTAGATACCGTGGAGTAGTGAGAAAGCTTCCAAACGCTTGAAAAAAAAGAATCGTCTATAATATTACTTTCTCTCGAACGTGTCGTGACCCGGCGACAACGACGCTTCGTGGTTTCTTTGCCGTGTCGGAAACTTGCGTTTTTCTCCTTTCGTTTCGAAGTCGTTTCTGTCGGGCACTGCCTACCGAAGGAGATCGAAATCGAAGCGAGGGAAAATAAAAACAGATAAAAGGAGATCGAAAGAGTAGAAATAGAAAACGAGACACACGCAAGACAGGTTCCGACGTGAAAGGGAACTCTAGGTGGCCTAAAAGTGTATCACGGGGACGAGTTGGTATCGTGACCGTGTATATAATTTATAAATAGTCCTAATTAACGCGGAGAACGTTAATTCTAATTTAATTATTTCCTACAAAAAAACCCTCCCTCCCAACCACCCCTCGAATCATACTTCTCACATGCTTTGTACTTGGTTCCTAATTTATTCTTATTTCCATTGATTATTAATTATCACACGATATAATTATTAATTACTAATTATGATCATTAGTTACGGTCATTTAATTATTCTTTCTTTTTTTAATTATTATTATCGATCACAGATTAATGCGTTTATTCCTAATGCTATCGCGTTATTTTGGTTAACGATATCGATTTAAGGACACACAATTTATTATTTACGAGAAAAAAGGAAGCACGCAATGTCTTACGCGCAGAGCCATCATATTCTGGCACCTCCGTTGTTCTTCAGTCGGTTGAATAGTCCTCTTTCGTCCGGCTAAGAAATTTCAATTTGCTCGGTGATGGACAGTATACCGAATCCTCGAGCGGTGTGCACGGTGCTTTACAGACACACGAAAATTTCAAATTGTCGTATTTGAAAATTTGGAGACAGAGACATTTAAGCTTTTACGAAACTTCAAAATGATTTAGAAATTTGAAAATTTATATGGGGAAATCTGAAGTTTAGAAACTTGAAAATTTCCAAATTTTCAAATTGAGTAATCGGCTATCATTACTTTTGTGCACGCTGCAGTTGTCCATCGCTATGTTTGTTAGCGAACAATTTAGCCAGTTCAAGTAACTGCTCGTCGCAGAACTTTCTTGCAGTCAAGTCGAGTCAAAAACATATCGAAAAGAAGATTATGTCTAGAGAGCAGTTACTCGAACAACGAACGACCGATTGAGGAACAAAAAGGGCCTTAACAAAAGTTTCGTACGAAAAAATTGTAAGTAAATTCATAGGTAGGACTGCGAGTGTGTCAGCTTGTAACGTTAACATCGCCGCGCGATCGAGTGATTGCTCTGGGCAGTGTGAACTTTGAAATTTCTCGAGCGAATGAAAATTTTTTTTTGTTAAACGTAATAGTCGAGAGCAATGACTCGAAACCGCGATTTAAACGACCGTTTAAACGTAGACAGTGGTGGCATTTTAGTACATCAGACAGCGCCGTGGTCGTGTATCGCGCGAAGACCAAGACGAAGAAGAGAACCGAAGAGAGGGAAAGAACAAGGAAAAGGCAGACACGAGAAGGACGTGTTTTGTTGCTCCATCGATGAGGGAAGAGCAAAGACGAAAGAAATTGGAATAATGTTTTCATTTTGGTCGACTCGTCGAGATCTATCCTTGAAGAAAGATCTCGCCATGCAAGTTGGCCATAGTCGATCGGAACGATTCGAATACACCGAATCGCCGATGGAATTCAGAATCGTTCCGATCGGCTTCGCTTTCCCTTTCTCTTCTTTCCGTTTGTTTTCTCTTGTTTGCTTCTTTTTTGTTTTTCCGTGTCTGTTTCTTCTTATGATGTTTCGTTTCGTTTTAATTTCTGGACGGAAACCATCGCGCCCGGAGACACGCGAATGGTCTCCAAAAAAACGAAATTTTCTCGTGAATTGCGTGCGCTTTATATGTGACGGCGGATGGTAGGTACCCCGTTCGACATACCAAATCCGTACTCCTCTCTCTGTCGCGGTATGCTGTTCGTTGTAAATGTACCAAAGACAATGTCGATTAACTGACAAATAAGTAGTTTATTTAACAAAGGTGGAAGGACGAGAATATCAGAGTTTGAATGAGGCGCGCGTGCCTGCGTACGCATGCGCGCGTATCAACCGTTCATTCCCTAAAAAAAGGGAACGCGAACGATAAACGCGGGATTGTACGAAAGTTTATCTATCCAAAGGAAGCTGCTAAAGTGTCATTTAGCTAGACGAGATTGATTAATGGATCCGCAATGTTGCATCGAAACATTGTTATTATTTTTGTAAAGAAACCATGTACATGTATTAACTTAGCGTGCTCTGCGTATGGAAGCTTACGGTATGTTGATTATTATTATTGCTATTATTATCTATTTTTATTATTATTATTATTATTATCTATTATTATTATTATTATTATTATTATCTATTATTATTTTTATTATTATTATTATTATTATATTGAAAGGAATAAAAACTTGTAATCTTGTTTCCCGAAATGTTTAAATAGCATATATATCGATATCGTGTAGGTTATTGCACCCTACGATAACATTTAACTCGGCCACCTACTCTCCGTGTCCCTTTCCTTCGGTAATTGGAAAGAAAAGCGATGTAGTTTTCAACCTACATATAACACTTTTTGCTAAAAAATTGTAATATTTAAACGTTCCTTGCACGTTCGGATAGTGTTAGGATGCGTTTAGACTGTAAGCGAACAAATGCTTACCGGTTCTTCCTTCAACGCGAACGAATGCTCTAACGATAAGCTTGCTAATCGATTCGGTTCGACCTAATTCGACGCTTCTTAATTCCACACAATACCACGCGATTCTGTCCCATGTAATATAACTCGACACGATTCAATCCAATGTAATCCAATTCGACGTTTCTCAATTTCAATCAACGCGTTTGCTCTGCAAAATGGCGACAATTGCAAACGCGTGTCATCGATTAGAAATCCATTTACGTCATAGAGATCGAAGGAAATATCGCATCGATGTACGTTGCAAATTGCTGTACTGTATAAGTCCGTACACCTCTAATTATTATTTAATGTTCCTTATTGCGATAATGAGTGTTTCCTCTGTCCAGGTCAATGGACTCATGAATACTTGGTCTTACCAATGTTACGTTTCACTGCATCTTTTACCAAGCAAATTTGCATTCAAATATCATAGAACTAAAATTACAATAGAAGCATTTAATTGTTATAACTTGAAAAATTTAGAATGGGCGAGTTAAATAGACAGAAGAATAGAAAATCAATTTTTTTTATTTTATTATATAACAAAATGATTTTTTTTCATTTTACGATTCTTCTTTTATACAAATTGAAAGTAAAAACATTTACATAAGGATTTAGATGCAAATCAAGTTCCCGTGAAAATTCATTACAAAGCATGTTTCATATACGAAATACACTCTTTGGTTTATCGATTTTGTTCGTTTTCTATACACGACACCTTAAGTGTTACTAACTTGATTAACATTAAGATGCTTTGATAATTACTATATTTACACACGTAATACAATGTTTCTTCAATCTTCGGAGAAGATTATCTTTTTATATAGTGTTATTGTACACTATAGAAATGTAAAAAAAATAAAGGAACTAAACGTTAAAATGATTACTACGAGTAAAACAATTGTTTACAAGAATGTTTAAATTATGTAAGTAAAAATAACGAACAAAACACTCTGAAACATTAAAAGTGATCAGCAGTACTTTATCAAATGGCGAACGCGAACATTTGATTCAACAAAGAAAGTTAACAAAAAATATTCGAATCGTTAACTAACATAAATTAATAAATATCACAAATATATTGCCTATATTTAAAAAGAATACATACTACGTTTTGCTTTCCTGACGCGTTTCAAACAGGTGTCTGTTTCTTCTTAAGTAATTCTTCCAGAAGTCTGTGTTACGCTGATTGAATAAACCATTGAACTGCTCTTTAGTTCGGTCACGAAGCGGCACAGCTGGGTCCCATTTCAACGTGTTCTGCACTACCTCATCGAATTTGTGCCTAGATAAGCTTAGCAATGCAGAGATGACGCCCTCGTTTTGTTCGTCTGATCCTAATTAGAACAAAACAAAATTAACCTATAGTTCCAGCAGTAAGATATGATAATAAATTAATCCTTGAATGGTAATGCGAATTTTAACACGGTAGAAACTGTGACCTTACCATTACTTAACAAAGTAGAATATAGAAGTACACTCACCAGAGTTGATTAAGTCACACAGTTGTTCTACAATTTGGCCGACTGAGTTATCTTTGTCTTCTATTGGAAATACTCTCATAAGATTACCTGTAACCACAAATATAGTAGAAATATACTTAGATTAATAAACAATGTAACAAACTTACCAAGCAACCAGAATGCTCTATATATGCTTGGAACTTTGTTGTTAATTATCATTGGTAACAATGCGCCTCGAATAATATTCTTATATGTCCATGTTGTACCTTCCTTTTTTGCGAGAAGTATAAGAGAAGTCTCAACTTCCGTATGGGACTTTGCTAAAATATAAATTTGTTTAAATAACTTTCCAAATTAAAGTAGTAAATTGAATGAATGTTTACATACTTTGAAATGCTGTTAACAATTCGTTCAACAAATCATTTGATAATGTTCCCGTTGGATATTTATAGAATATTGAGATCAAGTTCTTTAAAGCATTGAGCTTGGAATGGCCTACAGCCTGATGCGATGTGATAATATGCGCCATGCATCTTGGTAACAATTCTGTAGTGAAGTAAAAGTTTTTAGTTTCTTTTATTAATTTCTTACTAGATTAATAAACTGTAGAAAAAGGTACGTACTGCTACTTGTTTCGTTATTTGGAAATACTTCTGGCCAACATGTGAGTACTGTATATAAAACAATTATAGCATTTAGTCCCAAACAATACAAGGCATCGCAACAAAATATCCTTACTTTTTCTCTATCTTTTTTTATTCGGGCTAGAATCGTATACATCCTAGCGAGCGATTCTATAGTTTGTTTCTAGAACAAAAATAATTAATATAAATTATCATATTTTATAAGATGCATTAAAATACAAAGTAAAATTTTTACCATTATGGTTTGATTAAGTCTAAATAATTTGTACTCGATACCAGCTTGTACAAACTGGAAAATTGTCGGTTCTGATTCTCCTAAGTCAACTAATAATGCTACTATTCTTTGCTGTGTTTTTGTCATTAATGGCGCTGGTGGTGTATGACTTTTATCTAATTGTTCCCCTGTTTCTGTAGACAGGAACTCCACAATTCCTCTGAAATTATATCACATATTATTTATACATTTATTTCAATAACATTAAGTATTATTACAAATAATTTTAATACTGACTTTGCTATGATGCGTGGACTGCATGCACATTTTAATTTTTCTATTACATCCCAGTGCACTGAAGTTTGCCACTCGTTATCCATAAGCCTCTGCAATTGTCTCCTAATATATTTATCTGAAGCAAAAACATTCAATTTATAACTAACTTTTACAGTCCCGATTAAACAATTAATTAATTACTCATCTTACCAGTTAACAAACGGATAGGTAAAATTTGTTTATATTGACTTTGATAAGTCCTTGGAGATTTATTTTCATTGATATATTGTTTTAACTTCTGAAGTGCATAAGGTGACTTACTGGAACCTTTTGAATTTAGCCATATAGGTTTCTTTGGCTTTTTAGTATTTACGGTAATGTCTTTTTTTACTTGATTCTTAGTACAATCTTCATTTTTCTCATTTAATACTGGATTATTAGAACTACATGGTTCTGTAATTTGTACAATATCTGCATTACGCGTAACAACATTATTTTTAGGAGTAGAAGTATTTGAAACATTCATTGAATCGTTACTTTTATTATCACTAAAATCTGATTCACCACGCGACTCTTCAATAAAGTTTTCGTGAACATTATGATCTTTTTGAGATGGTTCCGACTCTACACGTTCCTTTTTAACTGGGGTTTTACTTTCCAGAATAGGTACAGATGTGCTTTCATTTACCTGATCCAAAGATTTACATTGATTTTCTAGTTCTGTCACTGTTTCCACAAGTTCTTGTACAGACTTGTTGATCTCAGATTCAAGGATACCATCAGAGTCATTTACTGGTTCCAGACAATCAGAACTGTTTAATTCAGGCTCTGTTTTCACTATCTCTTTTACAGAATCATTAATATCAGATTCAATAATACTATTAGAATAACTACAGCTATTTAGGTCTACATTTGACAAACTGTTAGTTTCTAGCCCATTTGGTACATTTGTAATATCAGGAGTAGTTTCCTCACTATTATTTTCTGCAGATTTTTCTGTAGCAGGTTCAACTCTGTTTAATGAAATTGCTTTCAACTGTTCTGTTTTGTCACTGTTTTCTTCTGCAAGTTCATTATTAGTTTTCTTCAATTTATTCAAATTGATGTCATTATCCTGCAGTTTTGTTTTATCTGTAATAGTGTTTTGATTACTTTCACTATTAGCAGAAATAGTTTGCAACTCTGACTCTGTATCTTCTACATTCTTTTCCACAGATTTTCTGACTTGCAACGAATTATTTGATGAATACGTATGATCAGTTACTGTACTTTTAGGTACATGTGCAATACGAGGTCTTTTTTTAGGTGTATAATCCTCTACTTTAACTAAATTCGTGTCATCGCCTAAATTTTTTTGTTCTGGAATAGTTCGAGAATTTTCAGTTTCACAATTTTGTATATCCTGATGATAAGAAGTGTTTTGGCTCACACTATTTATAGTTCTATTACATTTCCTTATATTCCTTATCTTTTTCAATAAATTTACTCTTTTATTAAAGTTTCTCTGCTCTTGAAGTTCATCTATTTTTCTTTTTCTTCCAGTGGTACTTGCAGTAGAAGTACTAGCGGCGTTCTCAACTGTTTTATCATCTTGTAATACTTTGGTTACATTTTTATCTTTTTCATTACACTCATTTGACTGTGTTGGTGTTTTTGGGCCAGTGTCTGCTTCTTTTGGTTTATTAAACTCCGTTAAATGTAACGCTGTTTTTATCTGAGGCCTTTCCGGTAGCTTAGGTTTTACTACTGACTTAACATTTCTAATAAATGACCTATTTACTATGGAAGACTTAACTTTTATTATATTTTTACGTACTTGACATGTATCTATGTCAGCATCGAGCTGCGTTAATTTATTAGATTCGACAGAGTCTGATAATATTCCTGAGTCAGTTTCTCCTCCCACTGATTTATTAGATTCGACTGAATTTCTAATGGTTTCTACAGTCTCCACTTCGTCTATGTCTGTAGAGTGATTAGAACAGGTGGGTGTTTTTGAGGTGTTAGATTTTGAAGGTGATTTAGACATTTCTGTACAGGATGAATTTTTAGATCCCATGCTAGTGTCTGTTTTACTATTGGTATTATCGAGGAACACCTCAGCGTATGAATTTGTGTCTGAGTCACTATTTGAATTTTCTAGATCTTCGCTATTATTTAATGTATGATCAGCATCATCGAAAAGAGATGAATACCTACTCTTGCGTTTTTTAGGCCTTTTTCTAGAAGGACTTCGTTCAACTTTTCTTGAGAATGATTCGACCTTCCACCGGTCAGTGTGCGCATTCTGTAACCTTTTTTTAGATTTTAACCGAGGTACTTTATAATTATTTAATTTCTTACTATGACGTTTATGCGTATCAGAGGGTTCTCTTTCCTTGTTCCTATTCTCATAGAAATCTGCCATTCTTTTCCACATTTCCATGAAATTAAACTGCATGGAACTATTCATATCATACATGCAAGTGTTTGGGTGATGTTGACAGCAATCACTAGATTGTCTTGATTTTGCCTTATTTAATTTCTCAATCTTTGTTTCTAGACTATCAATCTTCTTTTGTAAAGAAGAAATAATTGACAATGAAGATGCCACTGTTGCCATACTATCAGAATTCTGATTAACTGTATTTAAATTTGGCAACGGTACAGCATTCACTGGCATTGGCCCAATATAATAAGCACCTGGATTCATTAAATTATTGGATACTGGCACAAAGTTATTGCAATACTCAGAACGGCTCGGCGTTGCTGTAACTTGCGGGGATAATAAATTTGTAGGAATAAAGTTTGGATGATTATTTTGAGTCTTTAAAGGGGAGGAAGTATTTGGCAATGTGGAATTTTTAGGTTCATAGCAGTTGACTTCTGAAAACAAACAATATTAAATTTTATTTTCTTATGCACAAATATGTGTGTGTAGAAATAATTTAATATCTTACCAGGTGGCGCTGGTGGATGGGGCAATACTTTCTTTGGAGATGAAATTTTTTCAATAAGTTTTGGACATGAATTAGTCATAATTTTACATATTTTTTCGAGCGGTGGTGGTTCTAAAAGCACTTCACATTTACCACAGAATACAGGATACACATCATCTTTAACACTGTACTGTTCATGGGTCATAACACATTTTTCTGCTACTTTTGGTTTTTGTTGTATTTCATCACTAGTTAGTACTGTATTCGTCCCGGCTTCTTTTAATTTTGGTTTTTGTTGTATTTCATCACTAGTGAGTACTGTATTTGTCCCAGCTTCTTTTAATTTTGGTTCTACAAAAAGCATGACATTATTTAATATAACTATTATTACCTGAATTTCATTATTCTTTCCTCTTATAATTGTATAGACTTACTGTTATCATGTTCTACAGGGACTTTCTTTTCTATCTTCTTAATTTTTGTATCATATGATTTCTTTACAGCTTTTAATTCTTGTTCTAATTCCTTGATTTTTACTGCAATAAAAAATTGAATTAAAGAATTTAATTGCCTATGAGAATTTATATATTATATGATTTACCTTGAAGTGAAGACTTTTCTAAATCATACTGCATAATTTTACTGTCTTCATTTTTTTCTAAATCTTTTATTTTACATATTAATTGTTGTATGTGTTGCTGATCTGCTGCTGTTTTTACTTTATGCTCTTCTGCTTGTTGTGTCAGAGAATGAATATTTTTTTTATATTCTGTATTTTGCTAAGAGAAAAATGATAACTCAAAGTAATATAAAAATAATATTACAGATGAATAAACACAAATAACATATTTTACTACTTACAAGTTCTAATTTAATAACTTTTGCTAATGTAGAATTATAATTGCAAGTTACTTTCTTTGCCTCTTTACTTGTTGCATCTAAATCTGTTTTTAAACGTTCGCATTCTTTCAGTTTATCATTATACTGTTTAATTAATTCACTGAAATAAAATGTTTTATCAAAATCAGTCAATCAATATAAGAAATGCAAGATCCGTATTTTAAAAAACTTACTTAGTTCCACAAATTTTTTTCTTTAACAACAAATAAGACTGTGTTAATTTGTCCAAGCTAGAAAGATCCTCCTAAAATGAAATAAATATTTATATAAATAAAAACCTAAAAAGACAGTTGAAACCTATATTCATAATATGAAAATTAATTGATAATTAATCGATGAGATAGCAAATGATAAAAGTTATTCAGTAAAGCATGATCACATATCAGTGAAATAATATTTTACTTAAGTCATTAAAATTGTTATTTCTTTAAAATCTAGCATGGTATTTAAAAGTAGCATAACCTTAAACTAACCTAAACCTTTGGAGTTATAAAATTAGAGTCATATAAAAAACTTTAAGTACAAAATACTCACCTGCACGGTTTCATTTGCTTTTAAATCTGGAAGATTATTATCCATGTTGATTCAAATGACAAGTACTATTACTTATTTTAGACTTGTTTGTATTATCGAATGCCGAACGTAAAACACGTTTATGCGGCATTCATTTCGATGTTTACAGTTCCGGTTGGGTACATAAGGTTTGGTTAGAAAACTCTATTATTCGTTCAAGAAAACATCCTACTCGACTTTTGCAACGCAGCTGACTTCAGAGTTAGTGCCCCACCACTGTTGGACACCGTATCACAATAGTGAAAACTATTTATTATTTTGACGTTTCATTACGTATACATCTTTAAAAGAATACTAAAATTCAAACTGCAAATGGTTTAACAATATTACTGAAATGTTACATATCAGAAAGTTAAAATAGTTAAGTGCAATTGTACTAATAAATTTGTCATAACATTCCTTTCCATATTTTGATTAACCTTTTTTTATTTTTATACAATAAATAAGCTGAAACAGATAAAGTAATATGGTGTAGTATTTTTTAAAATATGTCATTTTTATAATTAAATTTTTATGCAAATAAAGATAGCTATTAAATATAAGTTTTACTAACAAATTATGGCAAATGAAGGAGTAGAAATGGATCAGACATTAGCACAACGACTGTTAGTTGAAGGTGCTACTGTTGTTGTATTGAATGTACCAAGCGGCACAGAGTTTGGAGTTGATTTAAAATCATGGAATACAACAGATAATTTTAAAGGAATTAAAATGATTCCACCTGGATTTCACTATGTACATTACAGGTAAGTTAATTGTATCTCGTACTTTCATTATTAGTGCTGTAGTATTTGGATTTATATATTTTTGTTGAAGTGCTGTAAATGAATTTGGAGAAGCAGCACCAAAAATTGGCTTTTTTCATATATTTAAAAAATCTGAATTCTTGGTTAAACAATGGGATGCAGCAGAAGAGGATCTGAGTTCAGAATGTATGAGATTTATTAGATAGATTTATGTTTATTACGTTGTTTATTCTTTACTACTATTCACAATTAAATTTGTACAATGATTTTTCATGTTTATAAATATTTTGTTACTTGAAGCTGTACCAGAAGAAACAGTTCAAAGGTTAAAGGATAATTTGAAAGACTTGGATAGATTTATGGTATGTTATCCTTATGATGTTTGGAAACAGTGGAAGGAGTTAACGAATCATATTACTCCTGCTATTGTGGAACGTTGTTCACCTGTATGTGGGTATGTAAACAATCAGATACATTTCTAGTGTTCATTATTTATATTTATCTCATTTCTTGTCATGTTGTATCTGGTGTTTCAGTTTTGTGAGGTCAGCTTTAGAGTTAGAATACTGTAGCGATGCCTTGAGACCAAGAGGTGGAACACCAACTCCAAAAAGACGGAGAACTGGTGGACTTAGTGTGGAAGAGAAAGAAAAGGAATTACTTCCTGATATGAAACCCAGACCAGGTACAGAACTTCGATTATCAGAAATACCTGACAAACATTATCCTGATGGAGCATCTCCAACTGAAATCACAAAGTACTCTCTTGATGCCAGCTATGCATTGGACAGTGTCCTCAATAAATTAACACCGTAAGTAATCATTTAATTACAGATTTATTTCATATTTTTACAATGCTCTATTCTGTACAATAATTTTTTCAGTCCAATGGAAATTATGGGTGAAATGCAGTTAGCATTTGTTTGCTTTTTGGTCGGACAAAGCCTGGATGCATTTGAACATTGGAAAAAGCTCGTTTCCCTTATTTGTGGCGCCGATTGCGCGATATCACAACGCCGTTCTATTTACATCGAATTTATGAAAGCATTGGAGATTCAGTTAACGCATGTTCCCGAAGATATACTGTGTGATATTGTAGCCAACAATAATTTCATTTATCAGAATCTTCGTACACTTTTTGCGAATATTGAGATCAATCCTGAACTAGACGGACGACTCAAATGTTATGCGTCCCGATTCCGTGAACGATTGCAGACCAAATTTTCTTGGGATTTTTCTAATTTGCAAGATGAGGCTGAAGATGATGCACCAGTAGTTGTATCTTTAGAATAAGAACTATGTATATTTTTAACTTAATTTATATAATATATGATTACAATATAAATAACGCTAAGTATGTAGGTGTTTTGTGTAAATAAATGTAACTTTAATATTGAATAAAGAGGAGTGGTAAAAGATAACTTGTTACACTTAAAATAACAGGAATATCAATTTTATTCGGAAATTACATCAGTGAATATAATTACTTTATCAGAGCAATAGTTACAATTAAAGAGTATTCAATTAAATTAATTTATAATTTCAATTGGGGCTTTAAATATTCTTCTCTCAGACATTGATCGTCTTCATCGGTTGTACTGAAACAGATAAAATGAAGATTGTACATAGTTCATACTTAACATAGTGTTAAAAACGAAGGATATTTATATTTACCGAGTAAGGGTGGGTAGAACTAATAGTTGGATTCAAACTTCAACTTCTTCGATTTCTGCTTCGCGCCTCAAACGCTAGAAAAAGTTAATACAACATTTAGTTAATAGTCATTTTAATTACGATAATAGATATTAAATGAATAATTACTGGATGTGGTGGTCGAGGCATGGGGTTCACTGGGCGGGGTTTGGGAGGTTGTACCGGACGAGGAAATGAACCACGGCCTGGATCTGCCTCAGCTTCTGCCTCACGCCTCAGACGCTGTGCGAAATTAATATCAATAAATATTTATATAGAATTCCACTACATTAATCAAATTCATTGACATCTAATTAATACTTACAGGGTGTGGTCTTGGTTTGGGGTTCGCTGGACGAGGTTTCACTGGACGAGGTCTTGAGCCACGACCTGGGTCTGCTTCAGGTTCTGCCTCACGCCTCAGACGCTGTACGAAATAAATGTCAACAAATATTTATATAGAATTTCACTACATTAATCTATTTCATTGACATCTAATTAATACTTACAGGGTGTGGTCTTGGTTTGGGGTTCACTGGACGAGGTTTCACTGGACGAGGTTTCACTGGACGAGGGTTCACTGGACGAGGTCTTGAGCCACGACCTGGGTCTGCTTCAGGTTCTGCCTCACGCCTCAGACGCTGTATGAAATAAATGTAAACAAATATTTATACAGGATTTTCTTAAACGATTTCATTGATATCTGATTAATACTTACAGGGTGTGGTGGACGTGGTGGAGGAACGTATACTGGTCTGTTCGCGGGTTCAGGTTCGGGTTCCGGATCAGCCTCACGTCTCAGACGCTGAAGAAGATCCATACAAAATTTAGTTACCATGAATTTTAATCAATTTCATTAATATTTAATTAATACTTACAGGGTGTGGAGGACGTGGCGGAGGAACGTATACTGGTCTGTTCGCGGGTTCGGGTTCGGGTTCCGGATCAGCCTCACGCCTCAGACGCTAGAGGAGATTGACACAATAGTTAGTTAATATCAATTTAAATTTATTTCGCTGATATTTAATTAATACTTACAGGGTGTGGAGGACGTGGCGGAGGAACGTATACTGGTCTGTTCGCGGGTTCAGGTTCGGGTTCCGGATCAGCCTCACGTCTCAGACGCTAAAGAAAATCGATACAGATATTTAGTTGACATTAATTTTAATTTATTTCACTGATATTTAATTAATACTTACAGGGTGTGGAGGACGTGGCGGAGGAACGTATACTGGTCTGTTCGCGGGTTCAGGTTCGGGTTCCGGATCAGCCTCACGTCTCAGACGCTGAAGAAGATCCATACAAAATTTAGTTACCATGAATTTTAATCAATTTCATTAATATTTACTTAATACTTACAGGGTGTGGAGGACGTGGCGGAGGAACATATACTGGTCTACTCGCGGGTTCAGGCTCCGGTTCCGGTTTGGCTTCACGAGCAACACGCTGCAAAATTATTATAAACTGCTATTGTTAAATAGTTTCAAAGTGCGCAGCATAATTTTCCGATTACATTCATATTATCAAATTTCGCCCAACGTTTCGAAATCAAGTATTTGATATGCAACAACAACGAAGATATTAAATACGTATCTACATTGAACTTTGAGTTTTTTGTACCTGTTGCGATAATTCCAGCGCTTCTTCGCCAAGTACTGTTGTTGCAAAAGCAACACCCAGAATGGTCAAGACCAAAATAGTCTTCATGATGTGTCTCCTGCACACCGGTAATAAATATTCGTACCTGTAGAACAATTAGTTATTTAGAATATTAAGAATTAAATGAATCTTAAATTGTATAACTTGAGATATCGTTATGTTTCAGATCACAGAATTTAATGTGTGATTATATCTTACCAGTCAAGCTGTGGACAGTTTGGTGGATTAGAGAAAACTGATGCCTGTTGCACTTAACTGCATCGTATTTATATGAAATGCACAAAGCGCGAACGTACGCGAGAAAGTTCAAGGATGCAAGCATCGTATTCGGGAATCACCGGCTGCGCGTCTCTCATGTTTGATAACCAACATCTCTTTTTTCTCCAGGGTTCCCCTATCCGTTCTTTGTTGAGTGAATTATTATTTATTTTTTGAGATTTCTTAATCAATAATATGCAATCAGCACTCTGTTAACACGAGACGATCGACACGTGCTTTCGACAGAATTTTCAAAATGAACTGAATCTGAAATTCATAAAAATTAATTTTTGACATATTCAGGTATTAAATATTGTGTAGGTCATATACAACGTATTGTGATACAATTGCGTGTAATTTAAGTGCGTGGTAATTTAATTGCATGATAATACAGCATGTGGCAATACAATGCATGGTGATATAACGCATGTGCAGCAAGCACAATCTTGTAATTATTTCCAATAATATCGATCTTTTTTTTATTTTGAGCGCATCTTGTGAGCAGTATACGCATTTATAGTCTATGACGATTGCTTAAAAGTAATAGTTTTTTACCTATATTATTCACTATTAATGAATTCTGTTTTTTAAGACAATCTTATCTTGTGGTATACATTTGTTTTATAGAATTACACAATTAATCTAACAATACTCATATTGTCTACAAGGAAAAAAGACACAATATTATTGCGTCAATCAGATAATCGGATCACATTTTTTTCTTGTTCTTGTTGATTTGCTTACTAACAGGAAAAAATGAACAAAATTTTTATCTGCTTTCAAACAATGAATAATTTTGAAGTTGAATATTTGGTCGAATAAATCAATAATCAGATGTGTGAATTATGTTTCATCCACGTGAGATCGCCTCAATGAGGATGTTGACACAAATGCGACAATCATTATATATAATGATCATTTGATTTTATATTAAACATGAGTAATTTTAAAAACATGTAATAATGCGTTCTATAATTTGTATGCTAATATAGTGCGTAGTATATGGTGATAAAACGCGTGGCAATCTATCGTGATATAATGGTGATATCCTTGGCAATATAACTAGAGTTTGCTGTAGATGTTTTCAATAATATCAATATACATGCACAATTAAATTATCTGTCATTTTATTATTTTATATAAATAAACATTTCCGTGCAAAGTAATCTTTCGCGATAACTTTCTTATAATTTTTAATACACTGAGAGAAACTAAAGATTATTAATTCATGACCCAGATAGACAGCGTATTCAATTCAAATCGGTTGATCGGGAATCACCGCGACGATAGCTTCATGCAAATAGATAAACACGAGGTTTTCCTCATTCGATTCATCATACGTTAATACTTTTATAAACATTATTCATTAGTTGCGAATTCGTTCAGTTTTATTCATTTGTACGTCGTTCTTTAGGAAGATCGTATGTTGTAGATCGTAGATTGTAAATACTTCAATTGTATTCATTTTAATAGTACTTTAGTACTAAAGTACTTCGTTTTAATAGTATTAAAGTATTATTAAAATGACACTTTAATTGTGCGATACTTTATGGAGTTAATTAATTTTGAGTTTGTGAGTGAAAAAAAAAAATGTTTCCGCCCGGGATCGAACCGGGGACCTTCCGCGTGTTAGGCGGATGTGATAACCACTACACCACGGAAACCGATGGTAGAACCTTCTTACAATTCGTAGTTATAATAAATCTGGTAATATAAGTATGTACAATTTTTGTATTAAAAGTACATAAGTAGATAGCTTTTCAAAAAACAACATCTATCAAATATACTTTTCCATTTAAATATTAATACAATTAATTTTAATTATATGTCATGTTACATACTTAATATGCAAGATATTAATGCAAAATGTCTTAGTGCAAGTTAATACTCATTCACATTAATTTTGTCAATATCATTCTAATTTTTTTAACAATACACTGACACACTGAATTTTAACAAATTCTTAAATTCAATACCAAATGCAAAATTATTCTATTTCGATTATTTAGATTGACAACATATTTCAAGGAGATTAATGAAGAAACTCGCCAGGTTCATAATCTTTTATTTTGTAAAAATTAAAATAATTACAAAGTAGTTGAACTTAAAACGCAATATTATTTAGGAACTGATTGTGCGTTGTTTTCGAGGGCCCGTTTCTCCTCAGATAACAACGTGACCTTCTCTTCGTACTTCTCTCGTAAATCTCGGAAAAGACATAACTGTGTCTCGTATTCCTTCTTCAGATCAGCGTTCAATTTCACCGCAGCATCCATTTTATTTATCATAGTGTTGTACCGTTCTCGTTCCTCGGAAATTCGGACTTCCATATCGTCTACCTCTGCCTATACACATTTAATATTTTCATTGAATATCAACGTAACTCTAAAAATTCTCAAAGTAAATATTCAAAATTTACCTGTAAGTGTTTAACTTCCTATACGTATTTAATATTTCCATTAAATATCAATGCAGCTCTCAAAATTTTCAATGTAAATGTTCAAAGTTTACCTGTAAGTGTTTAACTTCCATGTTGCGTATCTGTAACAGGCTCCTGGTAAGAGACTCCACTTCCTTTAGCGAAGCAACCTGGCTGTTCAAAGCGCTAATTTGTTTCTCCTGATTAAGACCCACGCGAATACGATCTTCCAATTGCAACGAGGTTTGTATCAGTTTAGCTTTCAACTGATCCACCATTCGTCGAAGCATCACTTCATCTCCCTCGCCTTTCAACAAAGCATCGTACGAACCTTGCAACAAGGCCAACTTTTTCTCGGTGCTTTCCAACTTTTTCTGGAGAGCATCTCGTTCCTTATGGACTTTCTACAAATATTCGTTAACTAAAATTAATTGAAAACGCTTCTAAATGATTTGACATAGGTAGTCACATTAAAATTTTAAGATTTAAAAAATTGAGGACTTCGAAATTTTCGAAACTTTTTCACCGACTTTTACCTGCACCTCCTCCTTCCATTTCAATATCTCGAGTTCATTGTCGTCTTTCTTTTCCTCCGTTAATGGCTTCTCCTCCGATAACGATATCTGCTTGTTTACAAGCGGGGCTGTAATTTCCTCCTGTGCTTTCTGAACGTTGGCATTCTCGTCGGGTCTTGGAACAGCACAAGTGTCTCCTGCACCTATGGTTTGCTGTAGAACTTCAGGAACTGGCTGTAAAAAATATGAGAAAGAGGAGATTGTACTTCGACGAATCTACATGTTTTGGGACCAGAGATTCCGACACATTAATTCAGTAAACTCGGTACTGCTGTTGAACCTTGCCTAACTAGCTTTTTCAATAGTTAATACTATTGAATCTATGGAAATATTTTGCTATCAATGTTAATAAAATAATATTTCATACAATCGCTACTGGAGGAAAACAGTGGTACAAGTATAAATAATATCAATGCAGCGACGCACTGAATTACCACGCGTTGAGCTATCATGCGCCGAATTACCACGCGTGGAATTACCACACACCGAATTACCATGCGTCGAATTACCACGCGTTGAGCTACCACGCGCCGAATTACCACGCGTCAAATTACCACGCGTGGAATTACCAAGCGTCGAATTACCACGGATGGAATTACCACACGTTGAGCTACCACGCGCCGAATTACCACGCGTCAAATTACCACGCGTGGAATTACCAAGCGTCGAATTACCACGGATGGAATTACCACACGTTGAGCTACCACGCGCCGAATTACCACGCGTCAAATTACCACGCGTGGAATTACCAAGCGTAAATACCAAGCGCCGAATTACCACGCGTGGAGCTACCATGCGCCGAATTACCACGCGCTGAATTACCACGCGTGGAATTACCACGCGTTGAGCTACCATGCGCCGAATTACCACGC